TACTTATAATGGATTCCTATCTATACTTATATCTATATATACATATATATGCATTTGAAGCTTAATTTCTTGGAAATCATTTCCACAATGCTTCAATGACTTCTGGGTTAATTTCCCATTTTCATAAAGCGCTTTGACTTAACACAAATTTCTTCAACTGCGCTTTCAACCCAAATGCTCATCCAGCTGCAGGAGAAACTCTTTCTGCCCGCCTTTCAGCCTATTAAGCCAACTCTCTCGGTTACCACATTTTATCATTGCTGTGCAGTTGTTGTTGTGTGAGCCCCTCGCTTCACCTGTGGTTGCTTGAAAACGATAATCATCGCATTTTGTAACAATTTTTTTATTATTTTTATTATTATTTTTTTTTGCTTTGTTATTTTACACCTCTCACCCCAGTTGCTTTCCTCGTAATTGTTTTCTTCTTTTTTTTTATAGCAGCAATAAACAAATAAATTAGGGAAACAACGAATTTTCAATATCATTCCGCCACAATACGTCTTAAATAATAGTCAATGTATGATGTATAAATACATTTTTTCTAAAATTTGAAAGAAACATGTATATATAAAGAAGGAAATATATGTGCATGTATAAAGATCCGACAAAAAGCTGTTGCACACTTGCTGATAAAGTTACAAAAGAAAGAAATGTAAACAACAAGAGACGTATATTGAAATCATTTATAAACAAAAACAAAAAACGTGTTCAATCGTGTCTGGGGTTATTGCACTCGGAGACGTCGCCACGAGCGCTGAGGCAGCAGATAGGGTCCGCTGAGGTGTACTATCACGGGCCAATTAGACTTGGCCGCATGATGAGCAGCGTCTCGTCAGCATTTCGAGCGCTACAGATCGATTCAGCTATCAGTCAAAAGCAACGACAACTTCCGCATGACTGGCGGGAAAATTTCTATTTATCAAAGCACTAGCTAGAGATGATAATTGTCTAAGTACACATATTGTGTGTACATAATATATCTACACATATGTATATATGTTGATTTGCATTTATTAGATATGCGCCACATGCGCCACAGCGTCACAGCCATTTGCTAATGAGCATCTTCGTCTTGGGTAGCTCGTTGGCCAACCGAGACTTGTTGCCCGCATCAGGTTAGAAGTCTATAAATGTGTATACGTACGTACAGTACATATTATAAGTATGCGTACTCTCAACTGACTATACCACACTGCACCACACCACAGCGCACCACCCACCGCACCGCACCACAATCTGGTGCGGCCGGCCGCAACAACTATTTGTGAAGGTCACGGCGCGGCTGGCGTCGCCGTGACTATGGCCGGTTTATAAATATATAAAGAACCGCAGTTGCTTCTAAGTAATACATAAAAGATCTAACATTAGAAATACAATGCGGCAATGCGCCGTACACATCAACGACATCAACGAGCGTCAGTCTTATGGTCTGACCTTAGAGCTTACTTTCTAAGGCGGGCATCCTTGAGGCCTTCCTTCTGTTCTTGAGCAATCAAGCGTTTTATATCTAAGCGATAAGTTAGCTGCATTTCATAAGCTCACTTAGTGAAATCAAGCACACAATTTAGGTCTAATTAATTTGATTATCAGTTCAGTTTGAAGCTGGGCAACACGAGTTGCAAGATGCTCGTTAGCGAAGTTTTCTTTTATACAATGTGATTAGACACGTCAGGTTGTTCCAAGTTGATATCAAATGTTCGCCATTAATTAAAGCACTTTGATTATGTAAAACATAATCACAGTTCGCACCGCTGTTGGCCTACAAAAATAAAAGCAAAATCAGTTAACAGTTAGCTAGGTCAGTCCTAAAGCCAACCATTGAACTTGGCTGGCACGTACCGGCGCTGCTTGCCCAGCAGATTTGCCCAACAGACTTTAATACATAACTCGATGTTGTTTATGCAAAAATTGTTCAAGCTACATTTGTTGTTGTCGGTGTTGCCTCAACTTGTGCTATTAAATTGCATTATGTGATGTTTACTGTTTGTTGGAGTCGTTT